TTTACAGTACAGTATAAAAATGTTAAAAATTCTATGCACAGACCTAGATTGGAAGCTATATACTGGGAAATTACCTTTAGATAATGAGTGAAATTTCTCTCCTGATTTTTTATTTTAATAAAGTTTAGATACTGAGTATATTTTTATGTTTAAAATCAACATTTAATAATATGATTTTAATATATAAGATAAATAAATGACAGTAAGATTCTATCATTGAAAAAACAACCACTTTTCAAATCCTTTAGCTTTGATGACCAAAAAGAAAAAAATAATTGGAGGAAATATTAGGAAGTGAATAAAAGTCTTTCATAATGTTCCTTATCCAAGATTTTCATCTTGACCATATCATATGAAATATTTTAACTTATTTTTAAAACATAAAGTATATTGTAAACTCCATAAGAGCAGAGGTCATATATTCTTCAGCTTTCTCTCATCAACACCATGGGTAATGCTTAGAATATAGAAGGTGTTAGTAAATGAATGATGGATAATTGACTGGTATTATTGATGTGACAATAAAGAGAGCTTAGTTTTTGACATCTTTGATTTACCTGTCTAGATACTATTCCTCCTTTTTCTGTCAACAGACCACAGTTGTCTTTGAGTAACAATCTCTACCACTTTTTGCTCATGTGGTCTAGCCCACCTCTGCACTTTAGGCTGATGGACAAGATTTAGTCAGAGGGACTGTTTTGCTCAAACTATTGGAAACAAGACCCGCTCTGTCAACTATGGATTACGAAAGCAATGGAATGTAATCTTGGAGCTTCTGGTGGCCATCTTTGCCTCCACACTGACAAAACAATGATAACAAAACCAACACAAAGAAAGACGGAGCTAAGAAACGGAAAGAGCCAATATCTTGGTGACATTATTTGATCATCTGGCTCAAGCTGTGCCTGAATTTAGGATATCCCTGGACTTTCCAATTACATAATCTAAAAATCTCTTTATCTTTAATAATTTTGTTTTGTTTTGTTTCTTCTAAGTCAGTTTGAGTTAGATGTATGTGCTGAATAGAGTTCTAAATTATACAGAGATGTGTGTTGACATTTCTTTTTATAGGTCTGCCAACAGTTTTGATAATAATGGGAAGTGGTCACTTCATGTAAAATTAATCATTATTCTTTGCTAACAACCTTAATAAATTATTGCTAGTAATTATTAATACTTATTCATTACTTTTAATTTTTAATAACCCTTTACCTAAATAAAAGTGTGAGAGTCTAGTGAAATTGAAGGGGCTTTCCACTGCAGAACATCGAACTCATGCGACCCAAAATATCTCTATAGCTAAGACTTCTTTTTCCTTTGTTCATACAGTTCTACTCTCCCATGTTAAGCTCACACACTCTGTTCTACCCCTGTAGTTTCCCTTATCTTAGATCATATATATTTAACACAAAGTGCCTCGCTATGGATTCTTCAGTGTGTACAGCATTCCTACCAGTCCAGAGTCTTTTAGAATAAATTAAGTCGTTTGACAGAGATAATTATTCTGTCAATAAATGGCTTCTTTGAGTCATTGAATTTATTCATAACCAGAGCTTTCTGGTTATGCATAGACATCTCTTACAAAATTTGTCACTCTATTTCCATGAGACATATACTTTGAAATTCATAGGAAGGTATATTTTCTTGACATGCTTTAAGCTAAGAAACTAAAGAAATGCAAGGGTCATATGGGTCTTTAGATTTAAATCTGTCTCTGTATGATCGTAAATCTGTGATGGAAAACAGATCATGAAACATTTACATATTTAAAGTAAATTCTTTTCTTCTACAGCAGTCTTTGTACTAAGAATGTAATTATCATTAACTTTTTAAATTTTCTCTCTAAATTGCTAAGGTATTTAATAACTGCTACTGTGCCTCTTTTTACCTTATATTATGAACTGGAAAGAGAACTATATTTGTGTTTTCTTTCACAAAGTATGCTTTAAGAAACAGAGACATCTGCCTTCTTTTTTCTTTATATGGTTCTCAGCTCCAAGCAGAGGTCAGAGCCCAATATATGGACCCTTAAATATGTGTTCAATGAATAAACATGTTTGTATATCTTTGGATAGCTTTTACCTAAGACACCTTGGATTTGCAATAATTTTGTTTGTTTCATTTTAAGTTCATTCGGTCTCTAACTTTTCATTGCATACCTAGGCAATTATATGTGTAAAACATTAGTGCTTGTTATGAGCCTGACACTATTCAAAGTGCTTTCTATGTAATATCACATTTATCTTCATAATAACCTATAAATTAGCAGCTATCGTTATCTCCATTTTATAGATGAAGAGACTGAGACATGAGGGGTTAAGTAACTGCCCTAATGGTATGTTTCTAATAAGTAGTAAAGCCAGCTGTTGAAACCACGAAGTCTAGCTACAGTCTTAGCTCTTAACCACTATCAATCACTCAGTTAGGTTGTTAGACATAGATTAAAACAAATACAATACAATAAACATAGACATAAAAATAAAAAATAAAAATAGAGCTCTTTCTGAAGAATCTGATGGCCAGAAATTAGAGGAGATAAATTTTGTTTTTATTTAACTTGATTTTAAGGCAGTCAATTTTATTATAATAATACATTGTTTTCCTATAAAGAAAATACTTTGATAAGGAAAACTTTGTGTGTAAGTAGAACATACAGGAGAATTGGAATTAGCTTTTGTACAAGTTTTTCTATTATTTTCGAGAGAGATCATGAGAGAGGAAAATATGTAATGGTCGTCTAAAAGAGGGAGGATCAAGAAAATCAATTTTCCAGAATTGTGGAGTATTCTGGATTCATCCGAACTTAACATTACCTTACATTTCTTCAACATGCTAATTTTTTCAGTATCACCAATTTAATTTTTGTAATGTATTTTTTTTCCATTTTCATAATATAGGAAGATGTGATGATAACTTCATTAGCTGGAAAATGTATTTCCACTTTCCGGGATTGGAGAAATGGAGAACTTGAATCTTTGAATTATTTAAGCTACAGACATATATATTTAGATATACACTTAGATAATTATGCTTAAACATACACAGAATTATACTTGGATCTACACATGTACCCTTAAATAATTATTCCTATTTGTATATATTCATTCTTTTCTCCAAAAATACCAAATATAAAAAAACCAATTAAAGTAATTTTATTTTCTTATTAAGAATCAAATTCCAATCCAGACACAAAATGTTTATTGGCAGCTATACCTTTAGCAACAAAATACTACAAGATGTCTTTTAGTTCTTGTCCCAGGGTTTTTATTTCTCAAATCTTCTTGGCTCATAATTACAAAAAGCAGTTATATTATTATTTTCACCTCAGTCTGGATGTTGGGCTGGATCTTTACCTTTTAGTTAAACATGCAGTAGATAAGTAAGTAGCAAGAGCAGGAAGAGTAATTACCGGTATAAAAATTTATAAAATAAGTAGTTTAACTGCCATTTTACTTCACTGTATAACAACTCTCCCAAAAGAGGCCAAATTTCCACAATATTCTGTAACGATTATCTGTTACTGAGAAATGTAGATTGTAACTGCTTTCAAATATATTTTAACAGTCTCAAACTTGCTTATTGTTCAGCAAGACAGAATCCCCGTATACCTGAGCATCATTTCTGCTCCTTTTCAAAGTTACTGCATAATGGTGGCTGTCAGACCTGGGTTCCAATGTTTAGTTCTCCTTTGTCTCTGGTTTATGCACAAAGGATGATTACTTACTTTTTTGTGGTTTCATCATCTAAAAAGAATCCTTTCGGGCTGTTTGGAAGAATTCACTGCAATGCTCGTCATGGTTCCTGATTCTTAGCAGTGGCTAAGAATTTTAGTTCCCTCTCTATACCCCAAATTAAGCAATTACCATTTGAAAATATTTACCCTCCTTTCTTAACTCTGTCATGAATATTGTGCGCAAATGATGTTAAACTCACCGAGTTGTGACAGGAGATGTGATGCTGAAGTCCTCATTGCAAGGGTCATTAGTGTAAACTAAACTGTTGGAATATTGTATTTTTAGGATAGGCTATCCTGCATGTAATGTACAAGTGATGAGGATGAATGGAGTGATTTTAAAGAGAGTTGGTTTCAGATTGTAGTTGTTCTCAAATAAAGATACTCAAAAAAAAAAAAATTGCCTCATGAGTAACAAAAAGAATGCAATAAGAAAATTATTTCTCAGCTATTTTTTTATTCTCTTATTTTCATAAGGTCCATATACAGTCTGGTAAATTTCTGTGACATCTAGAATACCAAACCACAGTAGCCAGAAGATAAAGGGAGTAGACGCAATGCATCTATGAAGTTACTGCTGTAGACTAGAGAGCTGGATCTCTGGCAGAACTGCAATACTATATGAGACAGACCACACCTAAATGCTTAGATAGGGAGATAACTTCTGATGATGTGATTACAGGTGCATATGTTCCCTGATTTGCTAATGGTAGCTGAGTAGGCATCACTTCCTTGGATGGAGTTTGTGCACAATTTATGTTTGTACCTACGGGCAAAATAGTTTAATAATGCCAATAAGGAGGGGAGAATGTAGGAGTGGGTAATAACTGAGGAGGACTTCAGAGCATCAACCTAGAGGGAAAGGGAGGAGGGCCAACGATCCAGGGTGTTCCCTCTTGCTTCTGCTTATGTGTCAAGTGGCAGGAGAAGTTTTGAAAGCTGCTGTGAGGAGGAGCTAGTGACTGCGTTTTGGGGTGTTTTGTACCCCACCCTCCCCACTTGCAGGAAAACCTCTTTACATTCAGAAGAAATTGAATTGGAGGAAGAAAGACTGTCCCAGGAATAGGAGGAAAGCAATTCTCCTTCTGCTCCTCCTGTCACTTTTCACTTGTCTCCCGACTCTGCTCCAAACCAAACTGACCTGCACCAAGGGGACAGCAGGGTGACCTGCACAAGTGCCAGCCCCTGGGAATCTGCTTAGCTGCCCTGTGCAACCCAAGCTGCCTTATTATCCAGTCACCATCCCTGAGCATTGAGACCGCTTCTCATGGCTGTGGCCTCGGCTGCCCCAGGGAGCATCTTCTGTAAGCAGCTCCTTTTTTCTCTCCTGGTGAGTAACAATAAAAGGATTAAGGAATTCAAGCATGTTACTATGTGCTTCCTCCCTCCAGTTTGGGCTTGAAAGAGAGTAGGGATGGGAGGGGAAAGCAGAGAAGACAGACTGGGAGAACAAAAACAGATCTGAGAAAAATTCAAGGAAGAGTTAAGAGACTTGGGACCTGGGATGGCAGGTGTTTTGCTGGCTTTTCAAGTGCCTGCAGCCAAATAGTTAGTTTTTCAAGGGGACTCCTTGTTCAGTCTTGCTGTGGTGTTTTTCTAGGGAGCAGTGGAATGAATTCATTCCTGAGGCACTTGGTGCAGAAGGTTTTGAGGCTTGCTTTTGCTACTCGTCATTAAATAAGCTGTAGTTATTTAACATGCTTAGTTGCATTGAGCTTCGAGAAGAGAAAAGGGATCCTGGGTGAAGATGTGAGTTATGCAAGACTTTCTTAATTTTATCCAGGAAGAGCTAAGAGAAGGGCAGAACTCTTAGTTCAAGCAAAGTGTTTAACTTGAGAAAAATAGTAAAGAAACATGTAACCTTCTTTGAAAAAATACCATTAACTTGGTTCCACTTAAGTTTTTAATAGCTTTATAACTGTGAACTCAGGTGCTAATGTTTCTTTGGTGGGGAGAAGGGAGGGGGAAGTTGTTTCACATCTACATCTGGCCTTTCTGAGCACTGAATTTCCTTCTTTTTTTTCATTTTAGCAAAATATTTTAACTTCAAGTTAGATTTTCAGAATTTAAAGATTTTGTTTTATGGGGATAAACATTTTTTCCAAATAAATAAAATATGATGTGGGATTCAGGGTTTCCTTTTAATTCTGTAACTGCCTAGGTGGGGAGTGGGGGGACGGGCTCAAAAACTTTCCTGAGTTAGTATTAGGTAAAATGTAGTGAATACTTTCCAATGATTCACCCAGGTTTCTTTTGCTTTTGGTCTCTGCTCTGTCCAGTATCCTTTGGTTTATCTCTTGCCCATTCATTCCTGACTTCCATAATGACCACAAAGATGTCTGACCCCAGCTCCTTCCAAATCATCAAGCTAATTTAACCTGAAGACTGGAGTAGTACTTCTGGAGAACTCTATTGGCTCTTCTTGCAAATACTGGGGGTCCTGAGCAGGAAGGAAATAAAATAGGTGTATTTGTGGGAACGTGAAAATATTCTATGAGAATAATGTGTTTATATGTATATATGTGCACATATACATGTATATGTATATGTATGCATATGTGTATATTTGTGTATATATATATATTTCTAATTACAAAACACTCCACATTATGTATTTAGATCATTAGTAAAACTCTTAATGCTCAGAAAGTTATTTAAACATATAATTTAGTTCATTCTTTGGCATTAGGACTAAAATATTAAAAAGTCAAATAAATTAAATGTTTCATGTTTTCAAAAATGGTTATTTAAATTAAACTTAAATATAAATGTGATTTTAAAAAATTCCAGTCTTTGCTAGTATCTGCCTAACAGAGTTTTTGTAAAATTACAAAGTACAGTCATGCACCACATAATGTTAGGTTCAACAGTGGGACCACATATACAATGTTGGTCCCACAAGATTATAATGGAACTGAAAAATTCCTGTCACCTAGTGACATTGCAGCTAACGTCGTGTCCTAACGTCATAGTGCAACACATTACTCACGTGTTTGTAGTGATGTTGGTATAAATAAACCCACTGTCATATAAAAGTATAGCAGTACAATTACAGTAGTAGGCTATACCATCTAAGTTTGTGTAAGTACACTTTATGATGTTTGCACAACAAGGAAATCACCTAACGATGCATTCCCAGAATGTATCCCAATTGTTAAGCAGCTCATGGCTATTTGAATAGACTGATACAATATTTCCAATAGACTTGAGATGGAAAAGAAGTGTATATTTACAATATGGTTGATAGTCTTTCCTTCTCCCAAACAATGGCTCCCATAAATCTGAAAATATATTCCCAGAGAAAAATTGATCATAAAGCTGATCTATTTCAGGGAAATCTAGCTCTGCTCTAGTTCATATTTAAATAGTAAAAAAGCAGTTATTTCAATAAACAGAAGAGGAAGCAAATAAAATACTGCAAGAAAAAGAAGCAAAATAGTTTTGAACGTAAAGACACTTAAACTGATAGCTTAACTTTTATTTTTTAGGTGGTCTCTGTCTTCTTTCCTTGAACTACATAGCTTTTTAAGAAAATAGCTGTGTCTTGATTTTTAATTAAAAATCTTAACTCTGTGGAAGGCTACTCTTTATCTTTTGAAATTATTTCTTTTTAGACTAATTTTATGAATGAGATTCTTGAAACTTTGAAGTTTATGCCAAGCCAGTCGAAGAAGTGATTTGAGATCAGTGAATATTTGTGGATGTTGTTAAGTGGCTAAAAAAAATGCTCAAATATTTTCTAAACTTAATAAACTATATCTTCAAATTGCTTGGGTCTGTAAAAAATGATGATTTATATACATTATAATATATAATGTGTGATTATTATATTCTAGAGTTAAGTACTTTATGCTAAAAAATCAGAATGACATTTAGAATGAGCTTAGAGATAACGTCTAAATAAAATCGATAACTTATAACACATTTTCTTAAAATGATACAATATAATTTAGGTTTTAATTTTCTCATTGATACTAAATGACATGGTGTCTTTAAGGTTACTTTCTTTGCTGTTTCCTTTTAAAATAAATGTGAAAAATATTGAAAGATTAGAAGATGAATGTGTTGCTGAAATAGACAATATTTTTATCAATAAGACAAAACTGTGAAGAAAATTTGTAATCAAATGTAATTCCTGATTTTTTTCCTTTCTTTTGAGGTTTTAATATTGTTTTGCGATGCTTGTCAGAAAATTTCTCTGCAAGTTCCTTCTCATCTTCAGGCTGAAAAACTTGTAGGCAAAGGTGAGAAACAGTATTAAGAATTTTATAGTTTTAACTGCTACACTTAGCTTCAGCCTACTCTTATAAAGTTTGGGATAAAAGCCACATTCTAGCTACTTGGCATTAAAATTCGACATAGAATGCAAGATAAACTACTTGTTTTTTGGTAGTGGTTAGAAACGACCGACTAAAGTACCAAGTTAGTTGTATACATTTTATTTCCAGAAAAATTAGCATACATCAGAGGGCTGAATTATCTCAGTTTAGTTCAAAAAAAGCAAGATACCAAAATCAGAAGCATATTTTAATTCATATTGACTAATCTGCTACCAAAATTCCAAAGCCAAGATTCTTCGATTGATTACAAATAAAACAAATGTGTCAAAACGTAAATGTCTCAAAATAAACGTTGTGCTTGAGGTTGATTACAATGACCTGGTACTCAGAAATTTATGTGATCTCTTTCACAGAATAGCTTGTGAAAATCAAATAAAATTTTAACTAGTCTACTACCACAGTCATACCTAAAGTCCAAGGATAACATTCCCTCCATCAAGATTTTTTATTGACCTTAAGTTTACATTTAGAAAAATACACTTTGAATACATAAGTGGTATCCTTTCCAAGGTAGGCATCGCTTTGATCAGTGTTTTAAACTAAGCCTTTAAATATTTTCAAAACATTTCAAAGATACATAGCCTACACTCTAAAGACACAAAATAAATATGCTAAATGTATTAAATATGAATCTGTAAAGAAAATATTTTGATAGCAACCACAATATATATTAAGTATTATAAGGGATTATTAAAACTGCAAAAAAATATTATAGAATGATTATTTGCAATATTACTAAGAAATACTATATAAATATAGACTGGTTTTCTTATTTTTTGCAAGATTTAACTATCAGAGATTATTGCAAAGAAGTTCAAAATCTACTGAAGTCATATAGTTATACTACATATAATATAAAATAATGAAATCTTTTATACATGTACAAATCCATGAGCAGAAGTTAAAGTGGAAACAATAAATCCATTGACACTAAGAAAATATTTTGTATCTGTTCATAAATTAACTTCTGATGAAAGTAGTGGAAACAGGGACTTCATTAATATAATGATTTAATTTTCATGGCCCCTCAGTTTTAGAAGAGGGAGTATTCAACACATTCCAGTGTAACTTTCTGCTTCTCATGTACTAACTTGCAGTTGTTATTCCTGTAAAACTTGTTCTATTGTGTTTCATCTTACAAATTACTGTGAAATTTCTTCCCTGCAGTGAATCTGAAGGAGTGTCTCCAGTCAACCAGCCTAATCCTGTCAAGTGATCCTGACTTCAGAATTCTAGAAGATGGCTCAATTTACACAACACATGACCTTGTTTTGTCTTCCGAAAGGAAGAGTTTCTCCATTTTTCTTTCAGACAGTCAGAGGCAAGAAGAGAAAGAGATAAAAATTGTACTGGAAGCAAGAGGAAAGAAGGTATATTAGGCAAAGATTTAACCATATTAATCTGTTTATGAAAGTCCTTCATTTCACAGATTTCCTTTCATGTTAAAATTATTGTTCTTTAAAGCTCACTTGTTTGTCTATTCTACTGATAATTAACACATGTAAAGACTAGACTATTTTAAGGAGTACTAGAGCTATTTACAAAATGGTATGAAAATAAATAACTCTGTAGTCCGGGAGCAAAGTCAGACTATCAAAGGTTTCAGATAGTGCTTTGAGATGTGGCAATAAGAACAACCAACCTGAAGAACAAGACAGGGGTGATTCTAAAACAGTGAAAGCTGATTCAAGCTGGCACTCCACCCTGAGTGGCTCTCTCCTAAGTGACTATGAGTGTGAGTCTCTCTTTAAAGAGAAGAGGTTGTCTAAAGCTTACTGCCATCTTCTCTTCAGAAAATGGAGTAATGGCCAGTCCAAAGGATTGGTTTAAATTTTCTGATGCTAGACTCACTTTCTTGCAGTGAGTGGTGATGATCAAGGAGTGGGAAGGGCAAACATTACTGGCATTCATATAAATCTCACCTTAAGCTAAATCTGCACAATGAATTCGGTCTTGTAAAATCATTTATTAATAAGTAATTCAATTTATGAGATTTCCCCAGCTAAATTCTTTTTGATTACAAGAGTTCCTCTTCATCAAATTTAGAACGTGCTTAAGGCTTTCGAAACATTATTTTACGTCCAAATTATAAAGAGTCTCCACATCACAAAATGAAACATACTTGAACAAATGCTGATCTGTATCATTATATAGGTAAACAAATACTTTAAAACGCAGTGTTTTAACAAATTCTGATTATACTACTCCTAATGGAATAAAATTGATTCTTAAATATTTGTTAATTGATTATCTATTCTAGGGGGGTTTATACTTAAGACAGCATCTTTTATCAGTGCCTTATAAAGTTCTTGTTGGTTAACTGATTAAATCAGGAAATAGGTGAAACTGGTTCTTATGCGTGTGTATATCTTATTAACAAAATAATAAAAAACAGAAATAGTTTCGGGGTTATCCATGATATTGTTATGTACACCCTTTACTTATTTTCTTCATATTGATGTATATGTTCAAATTATAGTTCTTAGAATGATAAGCAATGCTATATTTCTTCCTCTCTCATAAAACGCAGCGTCCTAAGAAGAGACATACCAATGACTCAGTCCTCAAACGCAGTAAGAGACGATGGGCTCCTATTCCATGTTCACTGATGGAGAACTCATTAGGTCCATTTCCACAACATGT